GTTTTCACCCCCTTGTCACCTGATTTACGAGAGCCAAACAAAAAAGAGGTGCAGCCAAGGTCAAGCACGGTGCTCTTGACTGAACCACTATTTCTCTCCCTGGAGTGACTGCAAGATAATTGACAATGATAACATTCAATTACAACCTGAACTTTCTCGTTTGGCACAATGAGAGTCGAGTCCCCTCCAATCTCTTACAGTGTATTACAAAGTAGAAAGAATGCAAATATTTCTCATGTCATAATGTAAGATATAAAGATGGCAGAACATCCCGTTCTCTGTTCCATTCCATCGTTGTAATTAACAGAAATCATCTCACAGGAATGGAATGAGCTACTTCGATGTACCTTGCTTTGTATGTGATAGTTTAACAAGTTAGATATTCACAGATGCAGACAAGTGGCCAAGAACTCCCAACCCCATTTCCATGGGATTGTGCAAAGGTTCCTGGCACAATAGCTTAATGAGGCACTCAGGGAACCAGCCTCTGGTTCTCTCCAGCATCTTGTCTCCCTGTGGCCACTTGCTGTCTTGGATTTAGCCATTTTGAATCATTTGTTGTCTCACTAATACTCTAGGCTGTTTTATAGCTCCATGTCCTTTTATCATGCCATTCCACCTGCCCCAAACACCCTTCCCTCCATTTGTTCATCTAAACTACTATTCATCTTTTGAGACCTTGTTTTAACACAACCTCTATTATGAAGATTTTTCTAACTCCCTCCTTTTCCTTGCTCCCTGGGAATTGGCCAATCGATCCTTTGTGTACAATGGTAGACTACACACACACACACACACACATACACACACACACACACACATTATAACACCTATACTACTTCACTGCAATTATTCATTTACATGTCTGTCTCCCCTGCTAATCTGTAAGATCCTTTAGGTCACATACCATGTATGTTTTATTTCTTTATCCCTGCATCTAGCACAGTGACCAGCACATAGTAGGTTTTTAATAAATGCTTGTAAAATGAATGCAATGTGTTCAGTACCAAGTGTTTAGCTGTCTCTTAACTTGCCAAAAGAAAAAATTACTACACAGTCACAGAACATGACAGGAATATAGCTACCAGTGAAAAGAACAGCACAACGAACTTTTCTTTTTCAATTTTAAGAAATTATAAACACATAAACTTTTTTCCAGTCAGTCTGGTTATAATTTTGAGCAGCATAAGTTAGGGTTGAGGTACTAGAAGAAGTACTGTATTAGATGTGTATTCTAAATTCTTTTTTGGTTGAGGGCCGGCCCCGTGGCTTAGCGGTTAAGTGCGCGCGCTCCGCTGCTGGTGGTCCGGGTTTGGATCCCAGGCGTGCACAGATACACCACTTCTCCGGCCATGCTGAGGCCGCATCCCACATACAGCAACTAGAAGGATGTGCAACTATGACATACAACTATCTACTGGGGCTTTGGGGGAAAAAATAAATAAATAAATAAAATTAAATTCTTTTTTGTTTGAGGTTATATATAAATATTTTTGCGTGTATGTGTGAGGAAGATTGTCCCTGAGCTAACATCTGTGCCAGTCTTCCTCTATTTTTTGTATGTGGGATGCCTCCACAGCATGGCTTGATGAGCGATGTGTAGGTCTGCGCTTGGAATCTGAACCCAGGAACCCTGGGCCGTTGAAGCAGAGCACTCGAACTTAACCACTACACCACCGGGCTGGCCCCTGAGGTTATATATTTTTTAAACTTACATAAGAAGTTACAAAAATAGAACAAAGAATTCTTATATACTCTCATCTAGATTCCCTAAGTTAACAGCTCTCTATAGCTAGATTTTAAAAAACTGGTGGGGAATAACTTACAGACACAAGGCTTAAACACTTAAAAAAAAATAAAACAAAAGACATTCTCCTATATCACCACCGTACAATTATCAAAATCAGGAAACTAATATTAATACAATGTTATTATATAATCTACAGTTATAAATGTTACCAGTTGTCCCATCGATGTACTTACAAAGCAAAAGAAAAAAACATCCAGAATCAAACATTGCACTTAGTTGTCATGTCTCATTTGTCTTTTTTTTTTTTTTTTATAATTTTATTTATTTATTTTTCCCCCAAAGCCCCAGTGGATAGTTGCATGTCACAGCTGCACATCCTTCTAGTTGCTGTATGTGGGACGTGGCCTCAGCATGGCCGGAGAAGCGATGCCTCGGTGCGCACCCGGGATCTGAACCCGGGCCGCCAGCAGCGGAGCGCACGCACTTAACCACCAAGCCATGGGGCCGGCCCTCATTTGTCTTTTTTAATAGAAAACAGTCTCCTTGATCTTTTTTTCTGTCTTTCATGATCTTGATATTTTGAAGCATATGAGCCAGTTACTTCGCAGAAAGTCCATTCCTTGATTTGACTTGTCTGATATTTCCTGATGATTAGGTTCAGGTTATGCATCTTTGCCAGAAATATCCACAGAGTGGTGCCATGTCCTTCTCAGTGCATCACACCAGCAAGCATCACTGGTGATGTTAACTCTAAACATTTTATTAAGGTGGTGTTGCCAAGTTGTCTCCACTGTAAGTTACTGTTTTTATGTATCTAATTAATAAGTAATATATGAGGATGCAGTTACGTTTAAGTCTAAACAAAAGAGAGAGAACCAGTTTTCCAATGTGACCTAATGGGAAATTGTTTAGCTCTGTTATTTGACCTTCCTAGAGATTACAGATAAAAATCCATATAAAGCTAATATAACGTGATATATCAATTGTCTCTCTATAAAAAATAAAATTAGAACCAGCCCCAACTTTAACTAGGCCTAGCGGTTAAAGTTTGGCACGCTCCACTTCGGCAGCCTGGGTTTGGGTACCAGGCATGGAACCACACCCCTCGTCTGTCAGTTGCCACGCTGTGGCGGCGGCTCACAGAGAAGAACTAGAAGGACCTACAACTAGAATATGCAGCTATGTACTGGGGCTTTGGGGAGGGAAAAATAAATTAATTAATTAAATTAAATTAAATTTAAAAAATTTGAGGACCATTGGCAATCTTCTGACATTTTTAGTGCTTTAGCTGCAAAATTATTTGTGAAAACAAGATGTAGCTCTGAATTCCGTAGCACTGAATATTCAAGCCGTCAGTGAATGGGAGTTCTGCATTCAGCAGCTCCTCAGGGGGATGAGGCTTGAACAGCAGCAGCACTGTTGTTTCTATGACTCTATGCATTTGGCTCACTGTTGGATCCCTCTTCAAAAACTGTCTGACAAGAAGATAATGTCCCATGCTATTAGTCATACTTTACAATCAAAAGAACAGGTTTATGTTGGTGTTAAAGCAATGAGTCTTGACTTCCAGTCTCTTTGTTCAACCTGCATATTCTCTGAGAGAGAACTATGCTGAAATTGTACAGGTGATTTGATACATGTTTACTTGTTTTCTTGAGGTATAAATCCAGCACAATAAATAGGATGTTTTTAAACTATTCTTTCAAATGGTTCTATGTCATAGTAAAGAAATCACGCAGTTCTTATTTTAATGCTTAATTGCTAATTTTTTTTTCAAACTGAGAGTATAGGACCCACATGCTCTGCACGCTCAGCTGAGGCTGTTTCTTTTTTTTTTTTTTAAAGCTTTTTTCTTTTTGAGGGAGATTGGCCCTGTGCTAACATCTGTTGCCAATCTTCCTCTTTTTTTTTTCTTTTTTCTCCCCAAAGCCTCAGTACATAGTTGTGTATCATAGTTGTAGAGTTGTAGCTCTTCTATGTGGGATGCCGCCTCAGCATGGCTTGATGAGCGGAGAGTATGTCCGCGCCCAGGATCCCAACTGGTGAACCGCAGGCCTCCGAACATGTGAACTTAACCACCACGTCACCGGGCCGGCCCCCACTAATTTTTTTTTTGCTTTATGTGGGTAGAGTTGACAAAAAATTGCATATATTTAAGGCATACAACATGATGTTTTGATATACATATATATCGTGAAATGATTACCACAATAAAGCTAATTAACATGTTCATGGGCCGGCCCCGTGGCTTAGCGGTTAAGTGCGCATGCTCCGCTGCTGGCGGCCCGGGTTTGGATCCCGGGCGCGCACGGATGCACCGCTTCTCCGGCCATGCTGAGGCCGCATCGCACACACAGCAACTAGAAGGATGTGCAGCTATGACATACAACTATCTACTGAGGCTTCCGGGGGAAAAAAATAAATAAATAAATAAAATTATAAAAAAAAAAAAAAACATGTTCATCACCTCACATAATTACCATTTTGTCCCTGTGTGTAGAAGAACATTTAAGATCTATGCTGTTAGCAAATTTCAAGTATATAATACAGTATTATTAACTGTAGTCACCATACTATATATTAGCTCTCTAGAACGTATTCATCTTACACAACTGAAACTTTGTACCCTTTGACCAAAATCTCCACATTCCCCCCATCCCCCATCCCCTAGCAACCACCATTCTACTCTCTGATTCTGAGTTCAACTTTTTAGATTCCACATATAAGTGAGATCATGTAGCATTTTTTTTTCTGTGCCAAGCTTATTTCACTTCACATAATGTCCTCTAAGTTCATCCATGTTGTTGCAAATGACAGGATTTCCTTATTTCTTAAGGCTGAATAATATTTCATAGTAAGTATTCCATAATTCAGCTATGTATGTATGTATATATATATATATATAAATATATATACTCACATCACATTTTCTTTATCCGTTCACTTGTCAATAGACACTTAGGTTAACTCTATATCTTGGCTATTGTGAATAATGCTGCAATGGACACGGAGTATAGATATCTCTTTGAGATACTGATTTCATTTACTTTGGATATATACCAAGAAGTCAGATCATATGATAGTTCTATTTTAAATTTTTTGAGGAACCTCCACTCTGTTTTCCATAGTGGCTGCACCAATTTACATTCCCACCAAAGTTGTACAGGGGTTCCCTTTTCTGCATATCTTCACCAACACTTATCTTTTGTCTTTTTGATAATAGCCATTCTAACACTTGTGAAGTTATCTCATTGTGGTTTTGATTTCCATTTTTCTGATGATTAGTGATGTTGAGCATTTTTTCATATAGCTATTGGCCATTCGTATGTCTTTTGCGTATTGTCTATTCAGATCCTTTGCCCATTTTTAAATTGGGTTATTTGTTTACTTGCTATTGAGTTGTTTGAGTTCCTTATGTATTTTGGATACTAACCCTTTATCAGATGTATAGTTTGCAAATATTTTATCTCCTTCTGTAGGTTACCTCTTCGCTTTGTTGATCGTTTCCTTTGCTATGCAAAAGCATTTTAGTTAAATGCAACCCCTTTGTGTATTTTTGTTTTTGTTGTCTGTGCTTTTGGGGTCATATCCAAAAAATCTTTGCCTAGACTAATGTCAAGACATTTTTTCCTCCACGTTTTCTTCTATTGGTTTCAGAGTTTCAGATTTTACATTTAAGTCTTTAATCCATTTTGAGTGAATTTTTGTATACGGTGTGAGATAGAGTCCAATTTCATTCTTCTTCATGTGAATGTCCAATTTTTCCAACACCATTTATTGAAGAGACTATCCTTTCTCCATTGTGTTTTCTTGGCACCTTTGTTGAAGATAATTGACCGTAAATGTGTGGATTTATTTCTGAGCTCTCTATTCTATTCCGTTGGCCTATGTCTATTTTTATGCCAGTACCATACTGTTTTGATTACTATAGCTTTGTAATATAGTTTGAAATCAGAATGTGTGATGTCTTCAATGCCTTGCTTTGTTCTTGTTGCTCAAGATTGCTTTGGCTATTTGGGGTCTTTTGTGGTTACATATGAATTTTAAGATTATTTTTTCTATTTCTGTGAAAAATGCCATTAGAATTTTGACAGGGATTATATTGAATCTGTAGATTTCTTTGGGTAGTATGGACATTTTTAACAATATTAATTCTTCCAAGCCATGAACATGGGATATCTTTCCACTTATTTGTGTCTTCTTCAATTTCTTTCATCAATATCTTATAGTTTTCAGTGTACAGATCTTTCACCTCCTTGGCTAAATTTATTCCTAAGCATTTTATTTTTTTTGAAGCTATTGTAAATGCGATTGTATTCTTAATTTCTTTTTTGGGTAGTTCGTTGTTAGTGTATAGAAATGCAACTATTTTTTGTATATTGATTTTGTATTCTGCAAATTTACTCAATTCATTTGTTAGTTCTAACAGTTTTTTGGTGGAATCTTTAGGGTTTTCTATGTATAAGATCATGTCATCTGCAAACAGAGATGATTTTACTTTTTCCTTTCCTATTTGGATGCCTTTTATTTCTTTTTCTTGCTGAATTGCCCTGGCCAGGAATTCCAGTCCTATGTTGAATAGAAGTGGAGAGAGTGGACATCCTTGTCTTGTTCCTGATTTTAGAGAAAAGCTTTCAGTTTTTCACCATTGAGTATGATGTTAGTTGTGGACTTGTCATATATGGTTTGTTTATGTTGAAGTACACTCCTTCTATACCAAATTTGTTGAGAGTTTTTGTCATGAAAAGATGTTGAATTTTGATAAAATGATTTTCTGCTTCTATTGAGATGATCATATGATTTTTATCCTTCATTCCATTAATATGGTGTATCATATTTATTGACTTGCATATGTTGAATTATCCTTGTATCCAAGGATAAGTCTCACCAAGGTCTATGATCCTTTTAATATGCTCTTGAATTCAGTTTGATAGTATTTTGTTGAAGATTTTTACATGTATGTTCATCAGGGTTATTGGCCTGTTATTTTCTTTTCTTGTAGTGTCCTCGTCTGGCCTTGGTATCAAGGTAACACTGGCCTCCGAAAATGAGCTTGGAAATGTTCCCTCCTCCTCAGTTTTTGCAGAGTTTGAGAAGGATTGGCCTTAATTTTTCTTTAAGTATTTGGTAGAATTCATCCGTGAAGCCATTAGGTCCTGGGCTTTTCTTTGCTGGGTTTTTTTAATTACTGATTCAATCTCCTTACTCATTATTGGTCTGTTTAGATTTTCGATTTCTTCACCATCCAGTCTTGGTAGGTTGTAGGTTTCTAGGAATTTATGGATTTCTTCTAGGTTATCCAATTTGTTGGCATATAGTTGTTCATAATAGTCTCTTATGATCCTTTGTATTTCTGTTGTATCAGGGACAATGTCTCCTCTTTTATAATTTTGTTTGCTTGAGTCCTCTCTCTTTTTTTCTTAGTCTAGCTAAAGGTTTGCCAATTTTGTTTATCTTTTCAAAAAACCGACTCCTAGTTTCATTGATCTTTTCCATTGTTTTTCTTTTTTTTTTAAAGATTTTATTTATTTATTTATTTTCCCTCCAAAGCCCCAGTAGATAGTTGTATGTCATAGCTGCACATCCTTCTAGTTGCTGTATATGGGACGTGGCCTCAGCATGGCCGGAGAAGCGGTGCGTCGGTGCGCGCCCGGGATCCGAACCCCGGCCGCCAGCAGCGGAGCGCACGCACCTAACTGCTAAGCCACAGGGATGGCCCTTCCATTGTTTTTCTAATCTCTCTTTCATTTATTTCTGCTCTGATCTTTATTATTTCCTTCCTTCTGCTAAGTTTGGGCTTAATGTGTTCTCCTTTTGCTAGTTCCATGAAGTATAATGTTAAGTTATTTATTTGAGAGTTTCTTTTTTCTTAATTTAGGCATTTATCACTATAAACTTCCCTCTTAGATTTGCTTTTGCTGTTTCCTATAAGTTTTACTATGTTGTGTTTCCATTTTAGTTTGTCTCAAGATGCTTTTTTATTTCCTTTTTGCTTCTTCTTTTGACTCATTGGTTTTACAGGAGTGTGTTGTTTAATTTCCACATATTTTTGAATTTCTAATGTTCCTTCTGTTATTGATTTCTAGTTTCATACCATTGTGGTCAGAAAAGATACATGATATGATTTTAATCTTCTTATATTTGTTAAGACTTGTATTGTGGCCTAACATATGATCTATCCTGGAGAATGTTCCATGTGTGTTTGAAAAGAATGTGTATTCTGTTGCAGTTGGATAAAATGTTCTGCATATGTCTATTAGGTCCATTTGGTCTATAGTGTTATTGAAGTCCACTGTTTCCTTATTAATTTTCTGTCTGGATGACCTATCCATTGATGAAAGTGAGGTATTTATATCCCCTACTATTATTGTATTGCTGTCTGTTTCTCTTTTCAGTTCTGTTAATATTTGCTTTATATATTTAGATGCTCCAGTGTTGGGTGCATCCTCTTAATGAATTGACCTCTTTATTAATACATAATGACCTTCTTTGTCTCTTTTGACAGTTTTTGACTTTAAGTCTATTTTGTCTGATATGAGTACTGCTACCCCAGCTTTCTTTTCATTGCCATTTGCGTGGACTATCTTTTCCCATTGTTTTAAACTCAGTCTATGTGTGTCTTTAAAGCTAAAGTGCATCTCTTGTAGGCAGCATATAGTTGAGTCTTGTTTTTTTTTTTTTTTTTAATCCATTCAGCTACTCTATGTCTTTTGATTAGAGAACTTAATCCATTTATATTTAAAGTAATTATTGGTAGGTAAAGACTTACTATTGCCATTTTGTTAATTGTTTTCTGACTGTTTTGTAGTTCCTTTGTTCCTTTTTTTCTTTCTTCATGTCTTCCTTTGTGATTTAAGGATTTTTTTATAGTGGTATGCTTTGGGAATCATGCAGTTCTGAGAGCAACACTTATTTTCCTCACTAGATTCCAGCTACTGAAAGCCTCTTTTACATTGAGATGCCCTCTAGGATGGCACTGTACAACATGGAGATGGCTGCCTATATTAGTTTACTAGGGCTGCCATAACAAAGTACCACAGACTGGGTGGCTTAAAAAAATAGAAATTTATTTTCTCACAGGTCTGGAGGTTAGAAGTCTGAGATCAAGGTGTCAGCAGGTTTGGTGTTTTCTGAGGGCTCTCTCTTTGGCATTTAGATGGCCATCGTTCTCCAGTGTCTTTATATGGTTTTCCCTGTTTGTGTGTCTATGTCCTAATCTCCTCTTTTTATAAGAACATCAGTCATATTGAATTAGGGCCCACCCATATGACCTCATTTTACTTTAATTACCTCTTTGAGGGCCCTGTCTCCCAATATATACAGTCATGTGTCACTTAATGATGGGGATATGTTCTGAGAAATGCATTGTTAGGCAATTTCGTCATTGTGCAAACATCATAGAGTGACTTACACAAACCTAGATGGTATAGCCTATGACACACCTAAGCTATATGGTATAGCCTATTGCTCCTAGGCTACAAACCTATACAACATGTTATTGTACTGAATACTGTAGGCAATTGTAACACAACAATAAGTAGTTGTGTATCTAAACATAGAAAAGGTACAGCAAAAATATGGTATAAAAGATAATAAATGGCACACCTCTATAGAGTACTTAGTGTGAATGGAGCTTGCAGGACTGGAGGTTGCTCTGGGTGAGTCAGTGAGTGAGTGATGAGTGAATGAGAAGGCCTAGGACATTACTGTACACTACTGTAAACTTTATAAACACTGTATACTTAGGCTACACTAGATTTATTTAAAAAATTTTTCTTCCTTCAATAATAAATTCACCTTAGCTTACTGTAACTTTTTTTTTTTTTTGCTGAGAAAGATTCACCCTGAGCTAACATCTGTTGCCAATCTTCCTCTTTTTGTATGTGAGCTGCCATGACAGCATGGCCACTGACAGATGAATGGTGTAGGTCCATGCCTGGAAGCTGAACCAGTGTGCCAGGCCGCTGAAGTGGAGCATGCCAAACTTAACCACTAGGCCACCAGGGCTGGCCTTTACTGTAACTTTTTTACTTTATAAACTTTTTAATTTTTTTTAAACTTTTTGACTCTTTTGTAATACAACTTAGCTTAAAACACAAACACATTGCACAGCTGTGCAAAAATATGTTTTCTTTATATCTTTATTCTATAAGCTTTTTTCTATTAAAATTTTTTTTTCACTTTTTAAACTGTTTTTGTTAAAAACTAAGACACACACACACATTAGCCTAGGCCTAGACATCACCAGGATCATCGACATCACTGTCTCCACCTCCACATCTTGTCCCACGGGAAGGTCCTCCAGGACAGTAACTCGCGTGGAGCCGTCGTCTCCTATGACAACAAGGCCTTCTTCTGGAATGCCTCCCGAAGGGCCTGCCGGAGGCTCTTGCTGAGGAGGTGTCACTCTCCAGAAACATGTCCATGGTGGTTTGCTTGGTTTGTTTCCTTTCTTCACCATAGGTTTGCTTGTAAGCAGATAATGCACATGAACATTCCTCTCTATTAATGAAAATGTTTCAGTGTTGGGGTCCCTGCTTTCAAACTTTTTAAGGAGCTTGCTGAAGTCTGCACAAGCTTCTGCTAAACCCTTCACTGTGAATTATCTTGGGGGTTATTTTCTTCGCCTGCAGTTTCCTTTTCTCTTGTCTCTTCTTCAGCTATGCCTTCCTGTTCCGGTTCCAACAACTCCTCTGTAGTCAATTCCTCAGGAACCACCTCCAAGAGCTCCTCAATGTCATCCTCATCCACACCCAGGTTAAAGTTGTTTGCATCTCGGCCACAGCCTTGTTGATTTTTGCAGCCTCCTCATCCTTGGCAAATCCTTTGAAGTCGTGAACGACCCTCCTGAGTGTCTTCTTCCAGATGCCATTCATACACTCCTTGGTGACATCACTGCAAGACCAAGCAAGGTTCTTAATGCAATCACAGATGTTGTAATCCTTCCAGAACTGTATCAGTGTCTTCTCAGTATCTTCCTCAGCTGCAGCAATAGCCTGGGTAAAGGTCCTCCCTCAGGTAGGAGGACTTAAAAGCTGTATAACTCCTTGATCCAGTGGTTGAATCAAAGAGATGGCATTTGGAGGGAGAAACACCACTCTGATACTGGGATGAAGATCACCATAAAAGGAGGATGTCCAGGAGCATTATCAACAGCAGGTAATATCTTGAAAGGTATGTTATTCTCCAAACAGTACTTCTCCATTTCGCTGGCATAGCAATTCAGGAGTGTAATTTGGTAAAGGAGCTGAGTCACCCATGACTTCTTATTGTTCCTGTAGTATACTGGCAGTGTGTGCTTATTGATATGTTTGAAGGCCCTTGAGTTCTCACTGTGCTAGATCACAAAGGGTTTCAATTTGTAGCCTGTAACGTTGCCCCCAAGCAAGACTATTATCCTATTCTTAAAAGCGTTGAAACCTGGCATTGAATTGGCCTCCTTTTGGATGAAAATCCTTTCAGGCATCTGTTTCCAGAATAGGGAAGTTTCGTCCATATTGGATATTTGTTCTGGCAAGTAATTTTCCTCCACAATCAGCTTATCTAGAGTTTCCAAAGATTCTTCAGCTGCCTTCATATCAGCATTTGCAGACTCACTATTCACTTTCACATTATATAATAAATAACAATTCTTGAATATTTTAAATCACCCAGAGTTAGCAGTAAATTCAACATCATAGTTGAATCCAGCCTTTTCTTTCAATATCACAAACAAACTTTTTGCTTCGATCATTATTGTCATGGTGCTGAGAGGGATATCCTTCTGTGTCTGGTCTTCAATCCAGATCATTAGAAGTTTCTCCATGTCTGATAGAGGCCCTTCTCAAATTTTTGTCAGTCTCATTGCCTTCAATGAAGCAGATCCTTTAACAGCTTCTGTCACTTTCTTCTTTGAGATCGTAGCTGTGGTGGAATGGGACATGCCTGACTGGTGAGCAATAACCATCACTGATTTTCCACCTTTGTAGTCCTTCATCACTTTTAATTTTGTTTCCAGGTCAGTCGCTCAACATGGCCTCTTACTGGCAGCATTAGCAGTGGATTTTGTACACTTAGGGGCCATGATGAACAAAACAACACAATATTAAATCAAGCACAAGAGAAAATGGTGCAATCAAGAGACGTGGTAAACACGAGATATATGAGGCTGCTGCCAGTGTAACATGACATACTGTTTTACAGTGAACTATTTTTTATAAGTAGAAAGAGTACACTCTAAAATAATGATAAAAAGTATAATATAGTAAATATACAAACCAGTAATACAGTCATTTATTATCAGGTATTATGTCTTGTACATAATTATACATGCTATGCTTTTATATGATTGGCAGCCCAGTAGGTTTACACCAGCGTCACCACGAACACATGAATAACGCATTGTGCTGTGATGTTATGATGGCTACAATGTCACCGGGCAATAGGAATTTTTCAGCTCTATTATAATCTTAAGGGACCAGGGTTTTATGCAGTCCATCGTTGACCAAAATGTCATTATGTGACACATGACTGTAGTCACATTCTGAGGTACTGGGGGCCAGGACTTCAACATATGAATTTGGAGGGAACAATTCAGCCCATAACACTGATCTTCCAGTTCCCCTGGCTTGGCACAAAAAGCTCTTGGTGATTCTACCAACTCTACAGGATTTAAAGGAAGGTATCAAACATCTTATAGTTCCTTAATAGATTTTACAATACGTATTCAAATTTGTTTAATTTTTTAAAGGAAGTCATTTGCAGACTTCTTGATGATCAGGGAATTATGTGTGAGAAACACTCATTTTTAAGGTAATAATGTTCCAAAGAAAATATGTTTTCTCTCTTTTTTTTTTAATTAAAAAAATTTTTTTTTGTGAGGAAGACCAGCCCTGAGCTAACATCCGATGCCAATCCTCCTCTTTTTGCTGAGGAAGATTGGCCCTGGGCTAACATCTGTGCCCATCTTCCTCTACTTTATATGGGACGCCGCCACAGCATGGCTTGACAAGCGGTGCGTCGGTGCACACCCGGATCCGAACCTGTGAACCCCGGGACGCTGAAGCGGAGCACATGCCACTGGGTGGCCCCTGTTTTCTCCTTTTATAGGCTTGAAGGTAATTTGACTATAAAGAGCTTTTACAGACTGAACTAAAATAAATTTTTTTTTCAGGAAAAATTCTAAACTAAATCCCAATGTAAAGTTCTCCGAATGTAAAGATGTAATAATTCAAGTGCTCTTATATCTCATTCCTACTTAATAATGGTATAAATGTGAATAATGACGAAATATTTTAGAAGGGACTTCCTTGCCCTTTGAGAAAGAATGTATTAGGATAGGCTAGGTTATAGTATGGTGAAAACAACTTCCAAATCTCAGTGGCTTAAAACAACAGTTTATTTTGTGTTCATGATGTTAGGTTAAATTACATTAAATTACCAGTATTAATCATTTTTGAACTAGAGATACTGCAAGTTTGTATAGATAAACCTAATCCATATCAGTCACAGATTGATTGGGGTCTCTACTCCTTGTTGTCCTTAGTGAGGGAACAGTCTTACAGAGGTCCCACGGGGTAGGATGTTGCTGGTTACCTTGGAAGAAGGAAAAGAAACTAAGAAAGTATGCACAGTCCACTTACACTCAAATATTACTGGTCAAAAAAGTCATAAGGCTATGTCTAACTTCAATGGGGTGGGGAATTGCTATCCATATGCCAGGAAAAAGGAGAACTTGAAATATTGGTGACTACCAAATCTGGTAATATTTATGTCAATGTCAATCAGTAATAATGATTCTTTTATATAATTTTCTAGTCCTTTCATGCATTATAGAACCTGTTTTTAAAAAATCACATGGCTCAGTTATGCAGATGATTGTTTTTATTTTTGTGTGCTATAAAAATTGAAATACCCTGGACATTGTTAATCCTAGATGAATCTGATATTATTTAAACAGGCTTTGTCACAGAGTTTTAGAAATAGTTTTTGGACTTTGCTATTGTTAAAATAGTAGGCTCCCAGTAATTTTTCAATTTGTGTCATGTTCCCTTATAACATGTAATGTAATTCCTATGCTAGGGCTATTTTTTCAAACTTTTTCTGGGTCTAGAATTGGAATTCCACAACAGTCACTGAAAAAACCATGTTTAAATAGTTTCTTTACCTTTTTTCTTTCTTATTTAAAACTTGCCATGTAATATAATATATAAAATTTCAGATAATATCAATGTTTAATAATGAAATAACTGACATCTTTATTAAACTAGTTGGTCTTATTAACCAGATAAGAAGTTGCTGGTCTAGTGAAATTCCAGTTCTAATTTTGTATTCTTTTCTAACATAGTGGTGTAAGAATTGCTTTTTAATTTTTTGGTTAGGAAGTATAACAAGTATTTAGTTACTGTATTAAGTTAACCTATATCAAAGGAATGTATATTTGTAAATTTGTTTTAGTAACAGCTTTATTAAGATAAATTCACATATATACAATTTACCCATTTAAAATGTACAATTCAATGGTTTTTAGTATATTCACAGAGTTGCGTAATCATCACCAAGATCAGTTTTAGAACATTTCATCATCCCAAGAAGAAACTCCTACTTATTAACAGTTACTCTCTATTTCCCCAATCCCACCCCTCCCTCAGCCTTAGGCAACTACTAATCTACCCTCTGTCTCTACAGATTTGCCTATTCTGGATATTTTCTATAAATGGAATCATACAATATATAATTTTTGTGACTGGCTTCTTTCATTTAGCATAATGTTTTCAAGGTTCATCCATGCTGTAGCATGTATCAGTACTTCATTTCTTTTTATTGTCAAATAATATTCAATTGTATGGATATACCACATTCATTTATCCATTCATCAGTTGATAGACATCTAGGTTGTTTCTAAGTTTTGGCTATTATGAATGATGCTGTTATGAATATTTGTGTTAAAATTTTTGTATACATGTACATATGTTTTTATTTTGCTTGAGTATTTACATAGGAGTAGAATTGGGAAGTCATATGGTAACTCTATGTTTAACCTTTTGAGGAACTTCCAGATTGTTTCCAAAGCAGCTGTTCCATTTCACATTCTCACCAGCACTGTATGAGGGGTTCAATTTTTCCACATCTTTGCCAGCACTTGTTATCATATATCTCTTGGATTATAGTCATGTTAGTGGGTGTGATGTGGTATTTCCATGTGGTTTTGGTTTGCATTTTCTTGATAGCTAAAGATGTTGAACATCTTTTTTTCATGTATTTATTGGCCATTTGTGTATCTTCTTTGGAGAAATGTCTGTTCAGATCCTTTGGACATTTTTCAATTGGGTTCTTTGTCTTTTTATTATTGAGTTGTAAGAGTTCTATATATATTCCGGACACAAGTCTTTTATCAGATATGTGATTTGCAAATATTTTATCTCATTCTGTGGGTTGCCTTTCACTTTTTGATCGTGTCCTTTGAAGCACAGAAGTTCTTCTATTTTTTTCTTTGGTTGCTTGTGCTTTTGGTCTCATGTCTAAGAAAATATTGCCTAATCCAAGTTCACAAAGATTTATACCTATGTTTTCTTCTATGAGTTTCATAGTTTTAACTCTTACATTTAGGTCTTGGAACAATTTTTAGTGAAATTTTTTATATGGTGCGGGGTCAGAGTTCAATTTTATTCTTTTGCAAGTTAATATACAGTTGTCATAGCACCATTTGTTGAAAAGACTATTCTTTACCCCTATTGAATTGTCTTGAGACCCTGGTTGAAAATCAACTGACTGTAAATGTGAGGGTTTATTTCTGGACTTTCAATTCTATTCCATTGATATATATATGGATATATATATATATATCCATATATATACACACATAGGCCACTACCACACTGTCTTGATTACTGGAGCTTTGTAGTAAGTTTTGAAATTGGGAAATGTGAATCCTCCAGCTTTGTTCTTCTTTTTCAAGATATCATTTTGGCTACGCTGGGTCCCTTGAAATTCCACGTGAAATTTGGGATCAGCTTGTCAATTTCTGCAAAGAAGCCAGCTGTATTTTTGATAGGGAGCACTGCTATCTTCATAACACAAAGTTTTCTGATCCATGAACATGGGATGTCTTTCTATTTAGGTCTTTTTAAATTTCTCTAACAATGATTTATAGTTCTCAGAGGATGAGTTTTACACTTTTTTGTTAAATTTATTCCTAAGTATTTTATTCTTTTTGATGATATTACAAATGAAATTGTTTCCTTAATTTCATTTTCAGTTTGTTCTGAAACTGTATGGCTACTGTATAGAAATATAATAGATTTTTAAATATGGATCTTGTATCTTGCAGCCTTGCAGAACTTGTTTATTAGTTTAATAGTTTGTTTTTTACTAGATTCCTTAGGATTTTTTATAGCTGTTAACAGCTATAGAAAGGCATTATTCAACGACTTCCTTTTCTAAAAATTCCCCATCAGATCATTCACAAGTCCTATAAATTCTACCTCTCTATCCTAGCCTTGAGTTTGACCTTCGGTTGCACTCTGTTCCAACCTCATTACTGATCTTGCTTGCTCCTTCTTCTACAATCCATCCTCCATCCTGCCACCACAGCTATCTTTCTAAAACACCAGTGAGGTCATGTTGCCTGCCTGCCTACATTTCTTCAATGGTGCCCTGCAGCCTTCAGCATTAATTTCAAACTCTTCTGCATGGCACTTCTTATTCTCATCTTGGTTTCTCCAGCCTTCTTTCTCACCACATGTTCTCAGGTGGTCTTATGTTCAGACATAGGAAGCTATTTGCAGTTTTACAAAATGACCTCACTCATCTCCCTTTCCTTCACATATCCTTTCCAGGTTCATTTCCTCTGGGAAGCGTCCACCTTTTCTTTCTCCTCCTCTCCTTACCCTTCTGCTCCTTTCTCTTACTTTCCCCAGTTTCAGTTAATCACATCTTCTCTGGGCAACCATAGCACGTGCTCGTACCTCTATCATAACGCTTTCCATATTGACTTGTAATTGGTTTAACTGTTTGCTTCCATCACTGGATTAAAAGTTACTTGAGGGCCGGCCCCGTGGCTAGCGGTTAAGTGCGCGTGCTCCGCTGCTGGCGGCCCGGGTTCGGATCCCGGGCGCGCACTGATGCACTGCTTGTCCGGCCATGCTGAGGCCGCATCCCACATACAGCAACTAGAAGGATGTGCATCTATGACATACAACTATCTACTGGGGCTTTGGGGGAAAAAGAAATAAATAAATAAAATTATAAAAAAAAAAAGTTACTTGAAGACAAGAGCTATTTCTTTCCTTTCTATTTCCTTAGTAGTTAGCACAGAGCATGGCTCAGCGTGGACTCATTAAAGTGGTTATACACACAGTCAAATCTACCTCCTAAATATCTCTCATATAGTTCCCCTCTTCTCCATCTCTGCTGCCATTGTCTTAACTCAGATCCTCGTTATTCACCCGGATTCCTAAAACTTCTGTCACCACTGTTTTTGGTCCTTCCCAGCAACAATTCATTCTTCACACTGTCACTACTGACATAATTTTTTTAATACATAGATCTGATCATTTCATTGAATGACTTAAAATCATCTGTGCCTCCTCATTATATTAAGAATAAAGTATAAAAAAGCCAAACTTGTAGAAACGGAGAATAGGATCGTGGTTACCAAGTACTAGGGGGGTGGAGGAAATGGGGAGATGTTGGTCCAAGAATACAAACTTTCAGGTAGAAGACAAATAAGTTCTGAGGAATCTAATACACAGCATCGGGATTATAGATAATGATGTATTATATACATGAAAGTTTCTAAAAGAGGAGATCTTCAATGTTCTCACACAAAAAAGAAATGGTAATTATGTGCCATGATAGAGGTGTTAGCTAACACTATGGTGGTTGCCATTTTGCAGTATATAAGTGTATCAAATCAACACGTTGTACACCTTAAAGTTACACAATGTTATATGTCAATTATATCTTAATAAATTTGGGAAAAAAAGAGAATAAAGTCCAACTCTTTAGCAAAGCATCCAAAGGCTTTCGGGATAGAGGTCCTGTCACCCTTTCTAGTCTCATCATCCACCATGACTTATACTCAGTACAGCCACATGCTGCCCTGGAAAGTGCCTTGTTCTCTAGCTTCCATTCGTTTGTACACTTGGTTACTCTGCTAGTGCTCTCTTCTACTACATCACCACTGCTAACTCCTAATCCTCCTTTTTTTTTTTTTTGTGAGGAAGATCAGCCCTGAGCTAACATCCATGCTAATCCCCCTCTTTTTGCTGAGGAAGACCGGCTCCGAGCTAACATCTATTGCCAATCCTCCTCCTTTTTTTTCCCCAAAGCCCCAGTAGATAGTTGTATGTCGTAGTTGCACATCCTTCTAGTTGCTGTATGTGGGACACGACCTCAGCATGGCCAGAGAAGCGGTGCCTCCGTGCGCACCCGGGATCCGAACCCAGGCAGCCAGTAGCGGAGCGCGCGCACTTAACCGCTAAGCCACGGGGCCGGCCCACCTCCTTTAAGCAACGCATCCTCCCAGAAGCACTTGCACCCAATCCACCTTGTCACCACACCCACTATATTGTAATGGTTACCTTTCTAGTCTCTCTCCCATACAATTCTTTAATGACAGGGATTTTGTCCTGATCATTTGTCCAATTGCAGATCAATAAACATTTGTTGAACAAGCAAATGAAGGGCATATTTGATACAACTAGATATATCAAACTGGAATTTTATTTACCTGTTTGTTTCCAATGATGATTGCTTTAAAAAGCTTTTTGTTGGTCTAAGACCCCCACAATGGGGTTTAGGCCCTCAGTTAAACAACAGGCTCAGAACAGAAGTGTCATACTCATATTCATTCCAAGAAACATTTTTTTGAGTACTGATATGTTCCAGCTAATACACTCTATTGCTAGAGTTGATTCTGTTATCCTTAGCTGAACAGTCTTGAAATTATTCCTGTTAAACTTCCTCTGACCAACTATTTATCAAAGTCACTTTGAATTGTCTTCATTTAAAACATTAGCAACTTTTTTCAGCTTAGTGTTTAACTACAAACTAAATAAGCATGCTTGCTATTCCACTATTTCAGTTTGAGCACAAAAATATTAAATGACATTACCAAAGGAATGACCTCTGGTTACTGCCTTTTAATCCCTTTTTCCAGCATGATAGTAAATCAGTGACGATACTGTGCTTTAATTTCTAATCTGTTGTGTTTCCACTTAGTAGTACCACCAATGTTTTTTTATTTCTTAACAATGATCACATAATTTCCTTACTAAACTCAAACAGGAAGTTTTCTTTGCTAGGAGTTACCAGTCTCTATTAGCAGATGATGCTTATCCAGAAGATCCATAACAATATTTCAAAGTAACTGATGGTTTTCTTTTTTAGTGAAAACTATTATTTACCTTGGCTGACTTTTTGTTAATAAAGGGATAAGAAGACTTGAATTCTTGTCCAACTAAAATGGTATAGATTTTCATCTTATTTAATATAATGGGTGTGTCTATATTTTTATTATGTTTCTAGTTATTTTTCTTACTCATTAATATGAGACCTATATTTTGGACATGAATCTACAAGCAATTTATCAAATTGCCCAATTGCTTTACGGCTCTATAAAATGTTTATATGGTAATAAATACAGTATACCTGACTCAGGAATACTACAGAATAAGTGGTTTTTTGACTACAGTGCCTATCTTAGTTTCCTAGGGCTGCCATAACAAAGTACCACAAACTAGATGATTTAAACAACAGAAGTGTATTGTCTCACAGTTCTGGAGGCTAGAAGTCTGAGATCAAAGTGATGGCAGGGTCGGTTCCTTCTGAGAGATGTGAAGGAGAATCTGGTCCTTGCCTCTTACCTAATTTCTAGTAGCCTTAAGCATTCCTTGGCTTGTAGATGGTGTTCTCCCTGAGTCTCCATGTCGTCTTCCCTCTGTACACATCCTGTGTCCAAATTTTCCCTTTTTATAAGGACACAGTAGTGTTAGATTTTGGGCCCACCTGAATGACTTCACCTTAACTTGGCCATCTGCAAAGACCCTATTTCTGAATAAGATCACATTCACAGGTACTGGAGGGTTGAGACTTCAACATATATTTTAAGAACACGTTTTAAAGACTATTATTATAAAAAACAGAAATAATATCTTCCAGAAAGGAAGATAGCTCTTCCTTTATATTTCCCAAGTTTTAAGAATGGTAACTTCTAAATCTCAATTATCTCAGCTCTTTAACTGTTTCCACAGTTCTAAACACAGTGCCTAGTATACACATGCTCAATAAAGGTTTGTGGAATG